TGTTTACTGAAAGAGCCAAACAAAATGCTATCCACAATTCAGTACTGTTAGCAGTGAGTTAGCCAAGACCAGAAATGGACCTCCTCCTATGAACAACTGCTATGAAAAGAAATCCTTCTTCTACAATGTCAGCCACAAATAAATCAACAATTTCACAGCATAACATAGTTGCACTGGTGACTGTGCACTGGAGATGTCCACAATGCATGTCTGCTTCACATCAGCATCTCAGAAGGAATTAGAGCACTACATATATAAGAATGGTCTTTAAGAAAAGGGATGTAAGAATATATGGTGACATGAACTATAAGAAAAAGAAGAAAATTCTCAGTTGTTTTGGATGTTCATAAAAAGAAACAATGAAAAATAAAATCAGCAGATCACTAACATGGCAGTTTCTGGCAGAACCCGGATTTCAACTTCTGTGTTCTGGAAACCAATTTAATCAAAACCTTCTTTTTTTTTTTTGGAGGGCTTATTTATGCAAATAGATCATAGAACTTGGTAAACATTTTAATAGCTGCAGCAGCTGATGCCAGGCTTTGCTTTACCTAGGTAGCTTGGGTTTGTTTCGTTCCATCTCTAAACAAGGCCTGATAGAATACTTAACTCAGCAGGATCCATATCCTTTTAATTCCCATGAATTAGATGCAGTTATAATTTATCTATAAATAAAGCAAAACTCCATGCCTCAAAATAATGTCACAGGTACCTCTGCTGTGTTTGAGGAGTCACTTCCAAAAGTGTACATCAAAATTGTGGCCAAAATTCTGGTCTTAGAACTGTTCACATTTTGTTATAGGAGAGCAGTAAACTTGCCAAATTGACTTTCTCTGTGAAGAGTAAACAGGTAGAAGCATTCAGCAATTAAAAGTACACATTAGTTTCCCAGTATGTACAAACCAGTTACTTGTGTCTCTGTGAATATATATTTTTTTCTACATAATATGAACACTGTGCTCATTATAAGACTGCAATTTCAGGTGAAGCTGCCTTTTACTGTGCATTTATTTGCCTTGCATTTAAATTAGCCTGGGTGTCCACATATGTTTCTGCAGTTATAGCAATAATGACAGAGCAGCTGTGCTCTGTGCCTAGAAGTTAATTCCTTAAGTTCCAATATGTAGAACAAGGTGTAACTTCATATGACAGCAGAGAATCCAGAATCCTTCAGAGTCTTGAGACACGTGCAGTCAGTGCAGGGGTTTTGGGGTGCTATGTCTGTGCAAATAATATCCAGGGAGGAAAAGAACACTTAAACTTTAAACATCAATGGTAAATATCTGGTGGTGACAGAAGCATGAACAGCCTTCCTCGAGTTTTACTTGTACCCCATAGAGAATCTAAAAGAAGAGATGGTAACACAGCACTACTTATTGTTGCATTTGGTAAAATCCAACAGAAATACTGTTCTCAAGAGCTTTGCCCCCTCTGTAGTAGTACACTCCTATTTGCTCTCATTTACCTGCAGTTGGGTGGTGTTTTGCTTTGTGCCAGATGCTTCCAAACAGCTTATTTTAAACACTGCCTGTAAAACACTGCAGTTCTTCTCTGAAGGAACCACTGCAATCTAAATAAAGAAAAGGGGCAGTGAGGCCATTCATTTTGGGCACTGCATGTTGTGTATTTCACATGGCTCTATATCTACAAAGAACACTTCCTAAGGAATAACTTTTTTAAAATTTTTTTTTTGAATTAAGCAAACAAAAGATTTGTACTTCATGATCACCAGACATTCTCTCATGAGATAAAAAGAAATGAATAAAGACCCTAAATTCTTTTAAACATGCAGAATTAAAACCACTGTGAGGTTTATAAATTAACATGTTTTTGGAAATCACCACTGCAGAGCCAAAGTCTAGCTTCCCTTTGAATATCACTCCCAGTTTCAACTAGACACCGTTTTTTCGTTTAACTTTCTCAGAACATTCACCTAACTGCACTTTGCCAGCATGTTTTTCCAAATTAAAAAAACTTCTGCAGAAACCATCTGCTTGACATTGCTTACATATTAAAAAAATATCACTCAATACAATGTATTGGAAATGTTTGGGGGTTTTTACATGGGAACCGAAGTCAGCAGTGCTGACTCAGGCAGATTTCCCACTGATGTCAGTGGGAACTATACCTGAACAAGCACTGCTGGATCTGATACAAATTTTGCTGCATAGCGATTGCTGCTGAGTGACACGAGAACATATGGTTATAGTTTAATAATGCCAACTGTAAAGGAGATGAGGAATTTTTTTTGGCATCTCGGGCCTGCTGCTTTTTTATTACTATCAGAAACACTTAAATGATTCTTGCATATCTACTTCCATAAGAGCTTTTTCCAGCTTCACACGAACACTGAGAAACGACTGTGAAGTCTGAATCTATCTCAACAGAAACAGATTCAGTGAATTTGTTGAGATAAAAACATGGAACACCACAACATTATTAAGTGTTGCAGTTGCTCTACAGATTGTATTATATTACCTCTGGATGAGAATGCAGACATTCAGTATGTTTTCCTTGCTCCAATCTGAAGAAATAAAGCCTTCATAGTACTGGCTTTGTCAGACCAGCAGGGACATGCATCATCAGCTGCTATTCTAAAGGTGAACAGCTTGTCAAACAGAACTCCAAATTTAGGTGTTACGAAATTACAGCTTTACTAAGTCTAAAAGTTAAGTCCTACAAATGATCACTGAGGTTACAGCTTCTGTGAATGGCGATCTTGAAAGCAACACCTCTAGGTGGATAAATCCAGCTCCCTCCTCTACAACACCTGCAGAATGATAAAGAGCAACATTTGGAAAATAACGAAGAGAAGCTGACCACGTATCCACAGTCTTAACCACAACTTTAATGTAAGGGTCTCTGTATCTTCAATAATTCCTAGGAAGGGAGCGTATTAAAGATGAAATGGTAGATGAAGTAATTCCTATTCCAATGCACTAATTAGCATTCACCCATCACAAAGGACACAACTTCGTTACAGCTCCTAGCTACATGCCTTTTTTCTTTAAATTACACAAAAAAGATTCTTGTGTTTTGCTATAGTTTCTATTACTCTTGGCCTTGTCAGCCATAGGAAAACTTCCAGATCATGACTAGAAAAGCTATGCTCTTCTTGCACAGAGGCAAGGACATAAAAGCTGGAAGTCACTGCACCTACTGCCCAAGTTTCTTTGTGTGATGAAAACTGAAATGGTTTTAAATTAAAAATACAGAAATAAGAGAGCTCTTAAAGCAAATGCATTATACAGCATTGTAACAAGCAGTCATCCTCTCTGTTAGATTTATCAGAGGGTGGACTTCTTTAGTGGGTATGATATCTTGCCACACCCAAGCTTAAAGGACAGAAAGACTGAAAAGTTTCAACTGCATTGTAATTTAGCATTTGACCTCTGTTTTGGGAGAAAGCCAATGCATCAGCACCTCATAAATTATTGCTCAAGTCACTCCAGAAACAGACAATTGACAATGTTTACATTCCAGTAACATGAGCCTTGAGAATTGATGTGAGGAGCAGGAATTCAGCAAATCAGAGGGCACACTCTGTTCTGGTACTTCTTTTGAGGAGGAATTCTGATTTAGCCTCACTGCTTGTCTCAATCTTGCTTGTCAGCTATACTGACAGACACTCTGGCTTCCCTACAGCCTTCTTGGAAGAGAATCTATTTGGAAAGGTAAGTTTAGCACGAATACTGGCAGTTCTCCCTGGCATATCCTCCTCTATAACATTTCTGTGGACTAAGAAAACCAAACCCAGAAGATTTTGAACTTCTCAGAACAGGGCCCTAACCCAGTGTGAGGGGGTGTATCTACCATCCACAGCATCACAAAGAACAGCAGTAAAAGAATCAAGCTAGTACTCTTGGATGACAGTTACACGTTTAGAAAAAAAGTGTCTGGAAATTCAGGTAAGGACATTTGGTACAGAGAAAGAGGTACTATCTGAAATCTCAATCCTATCATAAAATAACTCAGTTAATTAACACACAAAGGCACCATTCATTTTTTCACAGTATCAGTTCCCACATTACTGTACCATTAAAAGGCTGTTATCTTGGGCCAAGCTAAAGAACAGAGGATAAGAATAATTCCACTGTTGCACCACTGTAGTTATTCACAGGAACCTGAAGCCCAGTTACAGACACTAAAATGTTAATTTTAGGAAATGCTTGCCTAAAATGGATTTTAGTGGTGAAAAAATAAGGTATATTGTGACTACTCCAAGGTGTACTGTGAACAGCTGCTTACCGACTTAGGAAAGATCACCTGACACTGTTCTTTCATTTTGGATGAGTTATTATACATTTACATCACCTTCTTCCTTTTTACCTAGTAAGACAAAAAGTTCAAATTATAAGCAAAGCAAATGGGAAAAATATAGACCACAACTGTAATTTCTTCCCCTTTGCAAAGTTAAAAAAGAAATACAGCATGTACTTCTCATCCTAAGTGAAAACAAGCCCAAATGTAAATCAATGCTCATATAGTCATCAACTTGCATAGTTAAGTCCAGAAGAAGCAAATCTTTATTTCACTTTTGACATCGTTACATTATCTTGCTCTTACTACTTCCATACTTGCTCATATTGCTGTATTTTTACGTCAGATTTCTCTTTTCAGATTAAATTTGTAATTGGGGTGACTGAGAGCAGGACAACCATCTCCACGACAGTGCATTTGCCTGTATCACACACACAGTCAATTTATCACACAATCACTGAATCTCAAAGTGCAATTTAACACATAACCGAGGCATTGGTTAGAGGAGCCTGGCTAGAAACACATTAAAAGCATTAAGACTCGAGAACAACCATATTCAAAGCAAGTGACATAAATCAGGAAACAGGACACTATATTGCCTGCAGTATTATCATCTTCACTCACACAGGAACTCAAAGAAACAATTCCAAAACAGTCCTGGACACAAATACTCACAAAGCTGCAGGAGGAGCTGAACTTTAACTCCGTATGCAGTTGAAGTTCATCAAAGAAGACATGAGTTTTATTTTGGACAGTAGACTTTATTAGAAATTTTCTCTTCATTCGTCAGTAAATTCACATTAAAATATGCTGAAGGCAGCTCAGTCTAAACATTTGACATCCTGCCATAGCAACAACTTCCAGTTTAAAAACTAGGTAACTGATGAGGCTGATAATCTGAAACATGTAAGAAATGCAAACAGAAAGCAGCATCTTAAAAATGGGATGAGCCTGAAAAATTAATAACATTTCAGGTGAAGTTGGGAAAAAGAAAAAAAAAAAACAACACAAAATCAGTAACCCCCAAGATGGGAAACAGTTAAATGAGAACACCACAGATTCTAAAGGGATAAATAAACATTATAGCCACACATACACTGAGAAGAGAACCAAGTATTTAGAGTTCATACCACATAAAAATTATAAATTTGTTCAAAAAAGAAGTGACAAGCTGTCTAAAATATTAGCATCCTGAATTCTTGGGGTAGTGAGTACTTCGCTACAGACTGCAGAACTTTGGAGGGACTAGATTTGGTCTTGAAAGCAATGGACTGTATCTCACTTACCATGTCAAAAAACTGACCTTTCAGACACATATATCAGATTTTTCCTTTCATGTTTTAAATCACACATTCTTCTAGACAACGTGCTTGCTTTCTTCCTTTTTTTTTTTTTCCTTTTTCCTCCCCTAATGTCAGAGCTTTTAAGTGTTACAGGCTGATTATGCCAGGAACACTCAAAGCTCTTAACAACTCTGGATACCAAAGGTCAGATTTAAGCATTTTTCAAGTTCTCCTTTGCTAACTGATTATAGAGGGGTAGGGTATAGAACAGAGAAAGAAAGAAAGAAAGAAAGAAAGAAGGAAAGAAAAAAAGAAAAAAAAAACAAAAACCCACATTATTGAAGAATGCTCTGTCCTGCATGACAGGGGATCTTGCAGGTCAGATTTTCTATTGGCATTTACTAGAGGCATCAACAATAAACCAATATATGACAGCTTAGGATAATGGCTTTCAGGACTGTAAACACAACAGGCAACAGATAGCACATGAATCTTGATCAAATCAATGTTTTCACATTCTTTAGTAGTCCCCCACAGTGATCCGCTTTCACTGATTCAGAAAAAAATATATATATTAAAAATTAAATAACGCTTAAGTGTCCATCACGAAAATTTATGTTTTGCTGTAAACAATTTTCTGCTATTTGCATTGATGTAGTCCAATGTGAGGCCGGAGGGTTCCAGACGTCTTATTGATATTGTAAATAATTTTTCAGAGACAGAGGCAAAGGTAGAATTTCTATGTCATGCAGGCGGTCTCTGCCAAGAGCAAAACGAATTGATCTTCGGCACAAGTCCATTAAAGGCAGGGGCTCCGCTGGAGAAAAAAAAAGATAGAGTTAATTCTCAGCATCTCCACTTACAGTCTGTGTTGTTAACATAGATTCTGTATTGTGTTAAGCAGTAGTGAAGCTAATAATGGCACTGCGAAAAACCTGTCAACCATAAGGTAACTGAGAACTTTCACAGAAGCAAAGAGAGAACGCTGCACATTTCAACCATTCCAGCTGACCACAATTTCAGACTGAGCTTCTTCAGCTATGAGGCTTAAAATAACACAGAACCACTTTTCACACTTCCAAAGTTGCAGCATAACAAGTTACTACATTTCCAGAGTTCTAATAAGACAAAGAGCTTCTGCTCTGTAACACAGCATTCCATATGTTGTGTTAACATGAACTAAACTGGCAACTTCTGACCCCTGCATACCAACTCCTTCTGTGCCTTAGGAACTGGAAACAGTACTTAAGGGTAACCAGACTTCTCAGCAAACACTGCTTTTCCTGCGACACTCTTAACCTTTCTTTCTTAGAAATTCATCAGAAGCAAATAAATAAATAAATAAAGGACCCTAAAAAATCTATAGGGAATTTAACCTTTGCCCCATTAATAAATGAGGAGAGGAGCATTCAGCAGACTGGAAGCCACTGTGTTTGCTCTCATACAGACACAAATAACCTCAAAACACAAAAGCAACTGAAATTCCTGATGAACAGAAGTTAAGACTGGAGACCCAAACAATGATGACAGCATCTCGAACCATCTTAACTCTATCTCCTTCCTATCCTGATGTGCAAGTTACAGGCAACTACAGAAAGGTCATAGCATTTCCTTTCTGTAGTAATGTGAACAACCTCAGTAACTGTGGGATTTGCAATGGAAATTGTTTTGCAGCAGAAATAGGAATAAAGTAAAGATAGGCTTCCATCTTCAAGAACAACTCTAACCAGATGCACTTGGCTGCACACATTGCTCTAAAATAGAATAGAAGAGCTTTAAAGACTACAGGATGCTTTTCATGTTTATGGGATAAAAGCAGCAGTCTTTACATTAATACTCCCAAAATATAAGCAAAAATCTGTCATGCCTATATAATAGTGAGAGCCTTTTATGAACTTGACACGTTTTCTTACAAGCACTCAGAACTGTTCCGCTCCCAGCAGTTCTGTCAGGAGCTCTTACATGTCCCACATACATAGTTTACACATCTAAAAGGTAATCTATCAATCCTTCAGTTGCTATCATTTTAAAATCTACTTGAAAACAAAATACCAGGCTTAAGGATTGGCTTTATATACTAAAACTGACACACAACTGACTTCATGGATTTTTTGTCACTTATCATAGCACCACACTTGATTTGTAGAGTGCACAGTTCATTATGGTGTTTCCAAAAACTGTCCAGGGAAAAAGCCTACAAAGCATTCTGTGGTGTGCTGAAAGCCTAAAAAGCATATTTAGCTTTAAAACCACTTCTGTGACTCAGATATGAAGTCCATTTCTTCTTACAATCCATTTCCACTTCATGTAGAATTTTGGCTATTGAAAGATTTTTTTCAAGAGAACCCACACATCATAGAAATAAAGTAACACTTTCTATACATTTGTGATCTTAGTTTTAACTTTTAAGTATCAGAATTATGAATATTGATGCTTCAGAAATCAAGTTCTAAAATTCATTAACACGGGCTAGTAAGTCTTATGAGCAAAATAGCTCATGAGTTCCAGGACACGGAGTACAACACATATCACAGGTCTTACACCATAAACAACAATTCTCCGAGTATCTTCCCCAATCCCTGAGGGTCCCATAAAGAAGATATAAAATGAAGACTAACAGTGTTTTAAGCCATTAACTGATCACATGGTCTCTTCTTCTCCTAGACAAAGGAATATGCAAAACGCAGCCATCTGTGCAGCTGGGAACATTTAATTCTAAACTTTAAAACACAGCTTAAGGAAAGGTTAAAATATTTTTTCAAGTTTGAACTGCTAAGTGAGCCTCTTTTTTCTCACTTCTACAGGGAATTCTGAAATGCTAAAGAAAGTCTCCCCAAGTGTTTGCAACAGCTGCTGAATCAAATATACTGAAGGTGTTTTGCAACTCGAAAATTTAACTACACCATCTTTATTTTCCTTTCTATGAAACAGCAGTTCAAACAAACAAACAAAGAAACCTACAAGTTTGTCCTACACGAATAGATGCGATATTTTCTGGGTTGCTGATTCTGGTAAGAGTTTGCAGAAAATCTGTAGTAACAGGATTTTAAGTAAAAACTTGCAGCTGTGAACAGTCCTAAATGGCCAAAAGTTAAATTCAGGAAAAGAAATCTTATTATGTTTCAAAATAGTATAATTGTAAAGCTGCTTAAAATTAAAGAGTGAAAAGCTTTAGGCAGCCTACCTCAACAGAGCGACAATGAAACATTTGCTATGTGCCTCTGTGCAAATACTCTCCCACGTCGTATTTTTATGAAGTATTTTACAAATGAAGATCAGTTGGAAAAAGGCCTGAGTTTTAGGAAGCATGAGTTAGATCCTGAAAATTGGGCCAATTTCAGGTGGTCGTCTTTGTGTACACCGAGAAGGCGGGAGAGGCTGTGCATAAAGACTGACAATTGCACAACTGCCTTCACTCCAGGCTCCACAGCAGTGGGGAGTGCATCCCGGCCTCAGCAGCTGGGCAGGACCCTCAACAGCACCAAGCCCCAAAGCCACGTGGACAGACTCAGCTGGTGACACTTCCTCAGCACCCAGGGCTGAAAGGGTCCCCGCGCAGCCCCTGCCTCAGAAATTGGCAGGGCAAAGGCCAGAGTACAACTGTCCCGCAGCACAGATGTGAGTGGTAATTTCAGAGATGTTTTCAGGTTCATCAGGTGCTGTTTGCTGGTGTCCCAGCTGGGTGCTAAGCCCAGGCTCTGCCATAACTGCACCCTGGTGCTGATAATTCATTAACTGCATCACTTCCTCTGCTGGAGCCTGGTGAGAGGGAGGTGGGCTGACATCAGCACTGCTGGTGGGAAACTGGATGGTGGTGAGGAGGCTGTTCATCGCCAGCTCTAACAGCAGGACCAACTCACATGCAAACAGCAAAACTGCCTTATGTTTTCATGGAAGTTCAGTTAGAGATAAAAGCATGGAAAGGAAAAGTTCAACTGTCTCGAGCATACACTGCTGTGCACGTCATGTAAAACACACACAGACCTCATGTATCCAAAATACTCAACAGTGCAAATGACAAGAAAATATTCCAACATGCAAGAGACAGCAAAATGGATATTCTGAAGCCACATGGTAATCTGTAAATGTGGCTACTGAAATATGTTTTTCTACATTTTTATCTTTGAAAAACTTTTAAGTATGAGGATATTAACTATTAGTGTCCCTAGCAAGGGCAGAAAACAATAATTTAAATCAAAGTATTTAGTAAACCATCAGGTTTACTTTTTATCCTAACTCTAAACAAATGTTTTATTTTAGAATACCCCAGAATGGAATGAAATTAGAGCAATTCAGGCTTCCAAAAAGAAGGAATACCCAGCCATTTCAGTGCAGGTATGTGCACTCCAGTAATACACTATCAATTAGAAAAAAGAGGAAAGAATTGCTGAGCTGAAATACAAAATTGTAAAGAAAACACAATTCTCAAGAATGGCTCTTTGTACTGAATTCCCAACCAGGCTAAGAAACTGAGTGAGATATTCCAGCACATGGCAGCAAGCTTTGCACAGGAAACTTAGTTTCCTTTCAGACTCCAGCAGAACTTCAAGAAGAAAAATCAGCCCTAAATTAGCTGGTAAGGCTAGGTAAGCCCTAGCTCCAGGTCTGGCTCCCTCCAAACTGCAGTCCCATTTCTGAATGCATCTGCAGGAATCTTCCCATCTACGAGTTAGTATGAAACTTCTTTTCCTAAAGGTAGGTTCTCAGAGATGTAACATCACAGAAAGATACTTCTCAACAGCAAAAAAAAAAAAAAAAAAAAAAAAAAAAAATCACTACTCAGCTTAGTTCCCATATCTTCCAGGAGTTCACGAGTTCCATTTAAAAGGGGGTATGGGGCACTGCCAGCACTGGCACAGAGCTGCATGCCACCAAGAGGTGCCCTGGGCTGTAGACATCATCACCAGCCATGCCGAGTTGCACATGCATGTGTACATTGTTAGCATGTTTTGTAACTGTGACCAATGAAGTGTTCATGAGCATTTTCCCCTATAAATATGCATCTGCAATAGCAATTCACACATCATTACAGGCTGCAAGTTCATTTAGCGCTGGCAACCTGCGGTTACTTAACAATCTGGCACTCCAACAAGAATGCCTCATCTTTGTAAACAGGCTTTTATCGTCAAGATACTGAAGTCATCTAACATCCAATAACATTAGTGTTATTAACTGCCACATTACATAATGCTTGTACAAAAGAACAGCTTTCAGCACAAGGCAGTTACTTGCCAAATGACAATCATTTTCTGAAATAAATTTTTAAAACTAGAGCAACCCACAACGTTTGCAGTTTTCATTAATCTATAAAGTACATTTTTATCTTACTTTATAAAATGACAATTGTCTGGGGGGAAAAAAGCAATACTAAAGCTGGTTGGAAAATGAGATTTTTGTGAGAACCACTGTCACAAAAACTTAAGAATTTTTAGGACTTTTTTTTTTTTATGCCTACCTGAACCACCAAGTTATCTTATACTTTGGTATTTCTGGCCATAAAAGATCAACAAACATTAACATTGTTCCTGTTCCCAAATGTATACCCCTTCACCAGAGAAATCAGGTGCAGCAACACTGCCTCAAGAACAAAGGAAGGAAAGAACCTCTGCAAAAGCCTGCTGCACAGAGCTGTGGAAACTGAGGAGATGCCTCAGTCTCATGAGCATGATGCCTCTGTCTGGCTCCTAACTTAGGCATAATGGTTTCTGTTTACTACGTACTTGGTGGATACTGACCAACACCCCCTCTTCTGTCCTCTCATCCACCAGGAATTCCATCAATCAGGCCCCAGCTCTGAACCACTCCATCTCCATCTCA